TCTCTTTATGGGTTTCTCTGCATCTTGTCATGGATGTAATCCACAGACTGCATTCATCTGACTCAGAGAGGATGCCCCTCTGGTGCAAAGAACCTGATTAGTTTTGTCAAGACAGTTTTGTGCTGGGAAATTACAAAAGAATAACCTGGAGTGAGGAAATCTATAACCAAAAAGTTTGAGCCCTATTAATTTTAACTTACTGTGTTACATATCAGACTACTGTGATTGATTATTTCTAAGTGAGAGAAACTAAAATAAAGTTTAAGGAAAAGGTTTAATATTGAAATTGCAGCAGTCCATCTTAAGAATTATATTTTATCTGGATCACTTACATGAATGAAGGAGTAGGACATCAGTAAATGCTGCCATGTGTGGAAGAAGTACATGTTTAAATGCAACATCCTTTGAAAAAGGTCAGGGAGCAGCAAGTGTTCAGGTTTTATTTCCCTCATAAATGCAATAAAGACAGTTGCCTTCATGCAATAAAATGTTCAGATTAAATAAGCTCCTCTGGAAGCAGAGTACAGGGTGTGTGGTTTGGTTGATGCAGCTACCCAGGTGTAGAGAGCAAGTAGAAACGTGTCTGATACTTAGCTGTGCTTTCCACTCCTGTCAGTCCCGCACACCAGACTTGCAGGGAGCCAGGAGCAAAATGCTTTTTCTAATACCTACCATCCTGAGGAATTTACTCTGCCTCCTGTGACTAAGGGTGTCTCTTGTGTATTTGTCAGACAACCAAGAACTCGACCTCATCTCTCAGAAGACATTCTTGGAACGGCGTGCATGGAAATCGTCAATTCGCTCGCTGGGTGTTTCTGGGTGGTGGCCGTGGATCTGATATGGTGCACAAAGGAGTGGCCACCTCGGTGCCTGTGCCAGGGACATCAGCACACAGACTCGGTGCTGTGGCCGTGCACAGTCGCTGTGTGATGAGGCCACTCATTCTCATGCGTGGCACTGACAGAGGTTTCAGTGAAAACATTTCAAAAATGATTTTGCAACTTAAGAAAACATACTTCAGCAATTACCATTTCCTTTACCATGAAACCAAATTCACTGTACATTACAGCTTTAAAGCTGAGATCTAAGGTTCAGATCAACTCTTTAATCCTGACTGTGGCTTCGGGTACTTCCTGATATTTATGAGAAATGCTCCAGGCCTGCAGCTGGGCTTTGAACAAAAAAATAATGAACTTCGTTGACTGTGAACAAAATTCTACACTATTTTAAAGAAAGTTAAGCTGTGACATTTTTTAATCCAACACTAAATCACATAACCCAAATTCTCTGCATAATTCAGGAATGTTCAAAGCAATATAAAGACAATTAGATCAAACCGAGTTGTTAAATGAGCTGAAATCAATCTATCTAAACATGAGAATTCTTGCTGGTCTCTCTCCTGAAATATTCCCACTGCTTTTTGGAACAATACAATATTTTACTATACAATATCTGAATCAAAACACTGTTTCAGCTTTATTCTAACATACTCTATACACTAACTCTCCATCTAATCTTACTGGTTAAAAACATGGGTAATAAAGGACATCTTCCAAAATACACATAATTACAGAAATTCATATTTATAGAATATGCTTTACAAATCTAATTACAGTATCAATTTCTGGAGGCCTTGAGCCTGTCTGTTTAATGTGACCTCTCCAATTAATACAGCTATTTATTGAGAACTTATGTCTAATCACTTCTTGCTCACTTCTCTCAGGACTTGGACACAAAATAAACATCAGCTAGGGCCAATCCGAATTTTTAACGGGTAGAAATTAACAGAAAATCTTGTTATAGAGTTATATAGGAAACTTTGGCAGGGATATGGTGGTGTGTAAATAAGAGGCCACTTTTTTTTCAGGAAAGGAGGGCTCAGGGCACAGCCTGACAAAACAGGGCCTGGACTGAGCAGTGACGGTGACAGCAGCGATCAGATAGCCTGGTAAACAAGGAGCACATGAGGCCCAAACCCCGTTTGCTTCTGTTTAAACAAAACACATCGCTGTCAAGAAGCAAGACTGTTAACTCATGAGATGTTATTTCAGATACCAAGTCAGTCTTTAGAACTTTGCCTCTCTCTCCATTTAGGAAAAAAATAATTAGGAATGTAAAAACACTGTGGTCCAGACTCACAAATACTTAACACCAGATGAACTTGAATTTCAACGCTTATTTTTGAGAAATTCGCATTTGAAAATTTCTTAACAAATATTCAGTAAGATTCAGGAGCAACATGTTGGGCTTTTAAAAATCTAGCCACACATGCGAGTTGCTGAGTTCTGTTCTGAAGGGTTCCTTATCTTCTCTTGCTTCATCACAGCAAATAATGCTTTTTATTCCGCTGTCTTGAGGTAATTCCTTTTCTGGGGCTAGAACCAAAAGAGCTATTGATACCTGGACATGGTGTTACAAGAAATACATGAAGGTAAGAGTTCAACTTCCACCGTGAGGAGTTTGCAATAATAAATATTACGCTAAAAGCAGCGAAGTATTTTCTTCACTATGCGCATTGGAGTCACTTATTTATTTACCATTCGGAATCCCAAAGTGCTGCTCACTACACAAGTTAACAGCTGTCTGCTGGTACAGTTCCTGGCTCCTACCTCCTCAGGCATCTTTTTCCTGTTTATACTTGTACATCAAATGGGCCTTTGGAAAAATCCCTGATTTTCTTTTGTTCTGTTTTCTTTGTTCTGTTTCCATGCGGTCTTTTCCCCTTTGGAGATGACATGTATGGGAAATGGCTTATTGTAGCAACAGGAGACAGAAGGCAAAAACAATTGCATCACGGGTAAAGCAAACATCAAAGCAGAGTCCAAGCCAAGTAGCTGTGAAAAAAAATATTTCATATGTGATATTTTGACGTGTTCAAGTCCAGCTTTGGGAGGGTTTTTTTGGCAGCACAAAAAAAAAAAAAAAAAAAAAAAAAGAAAATGGTAAACTGTTGCCATTTTCAAAATCTTGTTTTTCTCAGTGTTTCTGTGAACCAGACTGGGCTGAGGACATGATGTACCTGTTGCAATCAGTGCGTTGCCTTTTCCACGTTTCCTCTGACTATGGAAATCCATTAAAGATACCTGCACAGCCAGTTTTAACTGGATTGAATTGCCAAAAAAAAAAAAAAAAAGGGTAAGTCTGAAAGACTGTGAAAACCAAATTGGAACTCATCTTTCGCTAAGTACTAATTAACTGTCTGACAGCCCACGTATAAAAATTAGGGTGCTTATTGTTGATGTTTATTTTCACTTTATAAGGAATTGCTGTAGGTAGCCAGCCTGATTAAGTACTTTTAACAACTCCCATCTAAAGATAATTAAGCTCTGCAGTGAAATGTAAGGAATTTGGCATTAAAAAAAATAAACACAAAGCACGGCAGATATTTTAAATGAATATACAAACATAACTCTTTCCAACACACACATTCTGCTTTCTCATGATTTACATAACATAAATGACTTTGACAACATCTTTATATTCTGTTTATCTTTAAATACTGCTGAGCCAAGAAAATCTGCATATTATGTTTCTGCAGCTTTAACCCTCTGACCCACTGGAGAGTTCTGCAGGCTACAGAGCAACAAAAGTTGGCACTGTGGGTGAAGAGCCCATGGCAAGGAGTAATCACTGCTCTTAAAAGCCCTGAACGTGCCCCATCTAAGTGTACGTAGTGAGTTTGTTAAATATTTATCCAGATTTATATGTGAATAATAAAAATTGCATGCTAAAAGTACGTCAGCTATCTTTAAGCAGCAACATCCACACTTCCATAGTTGGAAAGCTCTTCCTTTTTTCCCCTTGAAAAAGAGAATCTGGTTTCCTAAGCGGGCTGCTGTGCTGACATAGTAAGCACAACAAAGCTGGCTTTGTGGACAAACTGACAGTACGAATCATATAAAAAGAGGTGTTTGTATTATTTTACTATTAACAGTGTGAACCGATTCTACCTGGAACTACAGAGAACAAGGAAAAGGAACCTTGTGCACTGCAGACCCAACTGCTGTGATCGCTACAGGGAATCATAACTTGTATTTTGGACTTCACAACAGAACTAGCGAATCTTACGGCTTGGAAGTCAGCGGCCTGAAGTGGGAATTCCCTCCCCAGCAAATTGAAAATGACCCCACGGGATCAGAGCGGTCTTTCCTAATGGTAAGTATTTAAGTAGGCAATGTTGTCTCTTGTCCCTTGAAGCCTCCAAACACACCGCAGACGTCTAATCTCTGAGCAAAGGCACAATAAAAACAGAAATGGTGAATTTGGGCCTCGGTCCCGTCCAGACATCCTGCCTTTCCACAGCAGCGTGGAAAAGATGGCTAGAGAGTGAATTCCCACTTCAGGCCGCTGACTTCCAAGCCCTAAGATTTGCTAGTTTTAAAGACATGGCTTAAACCCGTACAGAAGCACAACCACGGCTGTAACAGTGCTGAGCGATGTAGTAAGAAACGGCATCAGGAGTTTTATTTCTTGCTTTATTGCTCCACCTCCTGGTTAACTGCAGTTTATTTTTCGAGCAAGAAGCGGGACGAGGAGGAAATCGCTTTCTAGCGGGAACGTCCTCCTCTCGCACAGGTCACACTCAGCAGGAGGGGGCGGCGGGGACACCCCGAGCCTCACAGGAGCAGAACTGTGCCATGAGGGGGGAACCGCCATTGCCGCTCCGCACGACAGCGCTGAGGGGGGAGCCGCGAGGGCGGGAAAAGCGCTGTCCTTCGGCTCCTTTCGGCTCCTTTCGGCTCCTTTCGGCTCCTTTCGGCTCCTTTCGGCTTCTTTCGGCTCCTTTCGGCTCTCTTCGGCCGCGCTCGGGCCTCGGCAGCCAATCAGCGCCGAGCGCGCCTTCGCGCCTGTCCCCGGCGGCTCGTGCCGAGGCGCTGAGGGAGCGGTGCGGCGGGGGCGGTGCGGGCCGTGACCCGGGGAGCGCCCTGCGGGAGGGGAGTGGCCTTCGGCAGCTACTAAACTGTGCGAGGGCAACTCGTCCCTTCCCGCCGGGCAGGAGCAGAGTTCCATTGCAGCTGGAGGGCAGGACAAGGTAACGCCAAGAGCCGGCGGGGCGGGGCTGGGCGTTTGTGGCCTTGCGGGCGGCTCGAGGCTGGCGGGGGTGGTCGGGCCGGGAAGGGTGACCTGTGAGGGGAGAAGGTGGCCGGGTCGGGGCTGGGGGAAGGACTGAACCAGGCAGTGACGCTGGCGCGAGCTCTGGGTGAAGCTGCTCCTGGTGAAACGAATCAGGCCGAATTTAGGCTCCAGCGAAACTTGAAATTAACATCAGAAGTCTTCGAGTTACGCCTGTCCTGAGGCTGCAGGCCCTGCCGTGCTCTCCGACCTAATTGACTTACCAACTTTAAGATTCCTGACGGCCTGTGCCCTGTAAGAGCTTCCCCACGCTCCCCGTCGTGGCTCTGTTAGTGGGGAGGTCCAAGAATGTTGCACGGAAGGGTGCGTTTTACTGAGTTAGCTGAAATTAAAGCATGGCAAACGCAGCGTGTGCTGCTCCTAACATTTACTGGGGTAAGGATGGGGAAGGAGGTGATGGAACACTAACGGTAGAGGTTGTTTGTTTTAGAAGATGACGGGAAGAGCCCGAGCGAGAGCCAGGGGAAGACCTCGCAGACAGGCGCCTCCTGTGCCTATGGCAGGAGATCCAGCTGTGAGTTGGTTTTCTTTTTGGTGAATGCAGTGGGGATTGTCATATCTCACCTATTTATCAGGCATATGTGTTAGATGTTGTATGTGTGGGTATGTATATATTGTCTTAGATGTATAGTTAATATAACTCCATTTTATTAAGGACGTTTTGGTGTCTTTACAGACTTAATTATAGTTAAAGATATATATAATAGAGCTGGGGGAAATAGATAGATATTTTCACAGCCTACTTTGTCCTCTGTGCTACCCTGCAGAGAAGCAGCACATACTAGGCTGCTGCTGCTGCTGTTGATTCATATTTGGGCAGAATGTGGGTCTGGCAGGTGTTCTGACCTGTTCTTCTTGGTTTTAATTTCAATATCAAGGAGTTTATGCATTGGAACTAGTATTTAGGTCTTGTTTTGCACTTACACGCACTGGTCAAAGTGTAACTTGAAAATGGCTGATACTTCTGTGTTTGCAGCCATGGCCACATGCCTGGAGGTTTTTTAAAGCAGTTCCTTAAATTTGTCAGTTGTCAGTGATCATATTTCATCTGAGCACGTGGGGTAGACTGGAGGAGTGCTCCCGGTCATTTTCTTGCCAGTGTCAGTTGTTCCCAACCATGGCAGGTTCCGCTGGATGTGCCAGGTGAGGTGGCTGAGCCTCAGCAGCCCCAGCGGATCAATGTTCCTCCACAACCATCCGGAGAACCTGGAGGCCATGGACGACTGAGGGGCTTTGAGAGTGTTCTGCAGGAGAGAAGGCCAGAAGGTCAGATGGGGGGGGAAAAAGTTCATTGCCCACAAGAGCTTGTGTTTTGAAGAGAATGCAGTTAAGAAGTTCTTTTGACTGTTTCTCTCTTTTTCTTTTCAAAATGAGATTTATTGCTATGGTCTGGAGAAGTTCACGGTACATACCTTGTGATGATGGTATTGTCATGTTAACTGAACCAGGAATTTTGAAAACTACCTCAGCTGTAGCATCTCCTTTGTCAAAATAGTTGACACAATTAACTGCATGAATACCAATAGTAAATTTCATTTTGATACTTCGTTACTTTCTTGAATCTTAATAAGGAAATTAAACTTTCTTGCCTGTTTCACATCACAGTGTGTTTACATTTGGTGGCAGCTGGAGCTAAAAGGAAAGACCTGTCCTCCCTGTATTTGCAGAAGAGATTATTGATTTGGAGGCTTGACATCTGAGTTTTTTTTGTCATCCTGCTGTGAGCTGTTCTATTTGCTTACTAGTTACCTTTCCATAAATTTTAGGAAGTTACTATGTGTTCCTTCAATTCTGTTTTAAGATGTTTGCTACATAGCAAAAGCTGAAAATTAACATTTCGTGATTTCTCTTAAATTTATACCTTTCAAAATTGAATTGTATTGCGTTCTAATTTGTATAATAGTATCTATAATATATTTATATATTACTTGATTTCTGATTCTTCCTCAAATTTAAACCAATAGGATTACGGGTTTCCTCGGGACTCCAGGATTTGAGTTTACGAGACAGGGGTGGGCGTCGGAGAGATTACCATGACCTGGGGGTCAATACTCGACAGGCCATGGTGCACGTTCAAGATTCAAAGACTGGTATGTTTACACTATAGACACATAAGCAAGTTGAAATGAAAAATAGTTTTCTTTATTTCTGCTTTGAATTTCCCCGAGAGAGCAGAGTGAAAAAAAAACCCTTTACTATGTACTAGAAAAAGATAAAAGTTGCTCTTGTATCCCATTCACTAACCAAATTCATAAAGATCTCTAAATGTGGAATTTGAAACCTCCTAAACTTTTTCAAAAAGTGACATGCTTCTTTTATGGAGTTGAAATCATGCATATGAAAAGTACAGCAGACTGTCACGATGGTCCTGTGTACCTGCTAGAATGTAATCCCTTACCCTTTTTAATGCTCCACAGGGCAGGTTCTGTGCTGATGATGGTTTTGTATTGTAACTATGAGACATCACACCATATAGCAACGACTGTAGTCCACTTTTGCTTAATTGAATCATAACTGGAGCATACCACAGGCCTGGGAATGACAGGGCTTAGTTCTGCTCAAGTCACTTTGGGCCAGGAGCAGGGTAGTTGTTCTCATTCTCAGATTTTCTGTCTAGAGCTATGGTGCTGCTAGTTCATGGATCTCTGTCCTTTGTAGGCAGCTGTAGTGCTGGCCTTCTGTTTTCCCTTTATATCTGTGTACAGGTTGCTGATCTAAATGCTTACCTGATGTGATGTGAGAGTGTTCCTGCCAACTGAAGGAGTTACAAAAAGCTCTAATGAGCAGATGAATATCTCATAACACTGTGCCATAACTCACCGAGCTTGAACAGAGGCAGAACACAGCAGACCTCTAATCTTTGTCTGAATGCCATAGTTTTTAAAAATCTCTGAGAGCTTTTGTATGAATATAAACCGGGTGAAATCTTGTGCCTATAGATATGTTTGCCTCTCATTTTAGGCTGGTCAGGTAGAACGATAAAATTGACTTCAAATCACTATCGTTTGACGTCTCGACCCCAGTGGGCTCTGTACCAGTACCACGTTGGCTACAGCCCTGAGATGGAATCGCGCCGTCTCCGATCAGCCCTGCTCTTCCAGCACGAGGAGAAGATTGGCAGGACCCACGCCTTCGATGGCTCAATATTATTCTTGCCACAAAAACTGCGGAACAGGGTATGATAGTAGAATGCTATTTTATTTTTTATTTTGGCTTTCGTTTTATGATGCTTCTTGTTCCTTACTAGCCAGGGTGGAGTTAGGGAATGGATGTCCCAGAAGTGATGTTTAGTTGGATTGAATTTACTAGTATAAGCTAATTTGCTTGTGTAGAGAAATTTGGTAATAAACTTCTGTTTCTAATGCTTAGGTTCTGCAGGTTAGAATAACCCTCTATACAGACAGCATTTCTCCTTTAGTTTTCTTTCTGCTTAATTCTTTTCAAAGCTTCGGTAAATTAACAGTCAGCATAATTGAAAGGGTGGATGAATTGGGTGTATGTGGCAGGGTTTTGGTAGTGAGGGGGTCTGAGGTGACTCCTAAGGGAGTAATTAAATGTATGTTAGTTGGCAATATATTAAGTTTATTTCCTCAAGTTGAGTCTTTTTCCTGTCATGGTAATTGGTGAGTGATCTCCTTATCTTCATCTTGAATTCAGCTACTCTGGGGATAGCCTCTGTTCTACTCTGTTAGTCATCTTCACACAAATCAAGTTGTAATTTACAGTCCTAGTAGAAAATCAGATTCCTGTTTCAGTTAGTCTTGAATTATTGCATAGAATCTCAGTGTACAAGTCCAGTTTGATACTGGTGGAACAAAGTCCACTAATATCTGTTTGCCTCTAGTTTTATTAACTTCATTTCACTTTCTCAGGTTACTGAACTGTTTAGTAGGACTCGAAACGGGGAGGATGTGAAGATAACAGTTACTTTGACTAATGAGTTGCCACCTACTTCACCTACATGTCTGCATTTTTACAACATCATTTTTAGAAGGTTTGCTGTACAAATTATATCCTTATAAGAAGTCATTCTGAAAATACATGACTTAAGTTTTTCCTTTCCGAAGAATAGATTACAATAAATAAGTATTGCAAATGTAAGTCTTTGAGCCTTTCTGGCTACTGTTGCCATGTGGCCAACCACATCTGGCAGTGTTTTAATGTGCAGTTATGTGTGTATTTCTGGCTCCTGTTAGTGTGAAATGAGTTTTTACCTTTCTCCTGAGCAGACTGACACTGCAGTGCTAACTGTTGTAGGCAGACAGTCCTATCTCTACTCTCCTTTTGAGGGTTTGCCTCTTAAAGCAAATAATACAGCAGGACCTTGAGCTGGCAAATTACTTTTTTTTGGCGGTAATATTTCCACTTTACTGTGGTACCTGGACTGTCTGGTTCATCTGAGATGTAGCTTGTTTGGAGAAGGGCTGGGTTGTATTTTAACTTACCTCACCTGATTGCCATTAGTAAGTGTCCATGACATTTTCATTAAACTCAATTTAAAAAGTTCCTGTTTTATCTAGTCAGATGAATAAAAAATGAGGTTGTGGAGAGGAATGGGATCATGCGTGGTGTGACAAACTGAATAATAATAATAATGCTAAATGATATCCATATTTTAACTTCTAGGCTTCTGAAGATGCTCAATTTGCAGCAGATTGGCCGTAATTACTACAACCCTGGGGATCCAGTCAGCATCCCTAATCACAGGTGTGGCAAAAATACTTAGGTTCAGGAGGGGTGCTGGGAGAGGGGTTGATCTTTGGTGATGTATCCTGTAATAAAACCATGCACATAAAAACAGGCATTCCTGGGGAAGCATAAAATCTCATTCTCCTGACTTAGTTACATGTATGTGTAAGATCTCATTACTTGTTACCAGTGTGTGTTCTGCCTAGGAGATTTTACCTTGCTTAGAGGTCTGTAAGGCTGAGATCTCTGAACACTTTAGTTCTACAGCTCGGAAGTGTGCAACCTCCACTCTGAAGGCTGCTCAACCTGCCATGTGAGTTCATACCTGGCCATACCCATCTGGATGGGTAGTTCTGGAACAAGGCTGTTGCTGGCTGTTGTGTCTTGTCCCCATTCCCTGCCAGGATCCCATATAATGTGGCTGCTGCTCTTGGCTAGCCTGAGGCTTTTTGTACAAGTTAGGAAGCTTGAGCTTGCCTGGGGTCCCATCGTGTTACTCCTTGCCATTAACCTGGCCTACAACAACCCAGAAGAAAGTGGACAGTGTTCTACTACATAAACTGCTGGTCTTTTTCTCTTAAAAGTGTCTTAAATGCCTACACACTTTGTCTGTGAGATATTTAAGACTAAGAGCATGAAATTAATTTCCTAGCCTTTGAGGCATCCTTGCTTTCACTTCAGTTATAGCTACATCATTCAATTAATCTGATTTTAAGCTGATTAAAGATAGCTACATGTAAAATATTTTGCATTTTGTTGACCTTTAAGAGCTTTTTTTTATGTTTGGATAGTGGTTTTTTAGTGTCTTCACTGCTTTCTGATGTTGATGAAAGTGGACAGAAATAAGGGGTGCGAATGAAAACGCTCTAAGAAGCACGTTAAGATTTTGTATGTTCTCCTTTGACAGGTTGATGGTGTGGCCAGGCTTCGCAAGTTCCATCCTCCAGTACGAGGAGAGCATTATGCTGTGTGCAGATGTGAGCCATAAGGTTCTTCGTGGGGAGACAGCGTTGGATGTTATGCACAGTCTCCATTCCCAGGTTGGAGAGGAAAGGTTTCGAGACGCCTGTGCTAAAGAGCTGATTGGTTTAATTGTTCTTACAAAGTAAGTCTCTGTGGACTCTTGTTGTCTTGGATCTGTCTGTGCTCCATGTCCTGAAGTACACAATGAAGCATCAGAAAGCATGCAAATGCTGTCACTGTCAAGCTGGCAAATTAATCAAGGTGACAGCATTTAAAAAAGCAGAAAGCACATACTGGGTTAATTCTATTTTCTTTTGGTTTCATTACAGTTCAGTTTTTGGTAGAATTGAGGGCCTATTACAATTGAAAACTTGAAGTTTCTACTTCTGCTTGGAGCAAAAATTTCAACTTACATGAGTATTGTGATTAACTTTTTTGTCCCACAGTTGTATTTCTTTCCTGTTTAAGATATAAACAAAACCCAATTTAAATGTTTACGTATGTAGGTACAATAACAGAACATACAGAATTGATGACATCAACTGGGATAGCAACCCAATGGGTACCTTTAGAAAATCAGATGGTACTGAGATCAGTTTCCTGGAGTACTACAAAAAGGTATGGAAACTTAACCGTGTGTGTTGTGCTGTAACTTGGAGCACTGGAGCATTGTTACAGGTTTGCTTATGATGCATGGATTTGTAATTAATTAATGTAATTAAGAATGTTATGTTTAATGGATACTTTGTAACTTGAGATCAGTAAATAACCTACACAGTATGATTTGGTGGGAGTACTCCATCCCAGGGAGTAGCTGGTCAGGCAGAAATGGCTGAAGGGTTGCATGGATGAGCAAGGACCTCTTGGGAAAACTCAAAGGAAGCTTATGGAAGGTGGAAGCAAGGACAGATAATATGGGAGGAATACAGGTGCATTGTCACAGCATGCAGAAATGAGGTTAGGAAAGCCAAAGCTTTATGAGTGAACTAACATGCAATATGTATTTCTAATCAGCAATATAATATAGACATTGGTGATCCAAAGCAGCCTGTCTTGATCAGTCAGCTGAAGAAGAGTAGAAACATGGAAGGAACTGTGGTTCTAATTCCGGAGCTGTGCTCCCTAACAGGTACTGTAGAATTTTTTCATATTAAAGCATTTGTCAAACCATAACACCTACTGAAATGGGTATTTTGACAGCAGCCTTTTGTTCAGCAGAAATGTTTTGTTTGTATAAATGTGAGTTTAGAAACAAATTTTGTAGCTAAAAGATTTTAAACAAGGCTGAAAAGTTTGAGGGGTTCTGATGTTGCATAGTCTGCAGGTATGGTGTTCAACATTGGCACACTGATAATGTATAGAGGTTTTTGGTGGTAGAATTTCTGTTGAAAAAGAGAAACTTAATAGAAATTGATAAATTTGTAAGATGTATAGATCTGTACATTGCTCTGAGGTACTCACTCTGCACTAGCAGTACCTGTGTCAGCACTGGTTTGTTTTGATTTGGAAATGCAAACAAAGACCTGCATTCCTTGTGTGGTTTCCTCTCAAGCGCAAAAATCCAGCATCTTTTTTTTCTATTTGGATGGGAATGTTTGTACAGAGAGCAAACCTTGACTACTCCTGCCACCACTTTGTGTCTGCAGTACATGCATCATTAATCTGTGTGGCTTGGAAGCTTAATTTTTGTAGTCCTTAGATTTAACTTTTGCTGAGAAAGAGCTTTTGCCGTTGCCAGGGTTAACGGAGAAGATGCGGACTGACTTCAACATGATGAAGGACTTGGCAATTCACACCCGGCTGCCACCTGAGCAAAGGCAGCGGGAAGTTGGAAGACTCCTTAACTACATCCAAAGGTGTGCCACCTGAACATCTTCTGTGCTTCTGTGTCGTGAAAAATGTGTATAATTCACTTATTTCTTGCAGCAGAGTCAGCAAGAGCACATTTCTCATGTTTTTAATTTCAATCTTGTTTTTAAACAGAGATGACAATGTTCAGAAGGAACTTGGAAACTGGGGGTTAAGCTTTGATTATAAACCAGTGGCCTTTTCAGGAAGAGTTGTTCAAGGAGAAAAGATCTTTCAATCAGGAAACATGGTAACTAATAACACAACTTACACACAGATCTTTGTCCAAACAGAAGACTGGCAAACTTCTTAAACTGTTTACAAGTTCTATTTAGAAACCCTTGGAAGCACTACATTACAATAGTGTCTCCCTTGCAAAACAATCCCTCTGTTCAAAGAAAGTCTTTCCAGGTACACAACTAGGAGACTAGAGATGTTTCTAACTAGTTTCCATTTATTAAAAAAGTACCAAGACTTTTAGATGACAAGCCACTGTTTATTTGAGTTCAGTAGACAGAACACTTAAAGGTGGGGTGACCAGTATGAATCATCTAAATTTGAAAAAAGTCTACACCAAGAGCTGTGTCTTTGTACCACAGAGTGTCTGCAGCAAATAGTAACAACTTAATCTGGGCTAAAAATTAGAAGTATGTTTGCATACTTAGGAATGAAACATTTCAAAAGTGTAATTTCTTTATAGGGCTAGATAAAACTTGTTTTAAATTACTGACAATAGCAGTAAAAGAACAGGTAAAAATGAGGTGGTGTTCTAGGCAGAAGTGTTAGTCTGTTCTTGAAGTGCGTCAGGAAGTAGTTTTGATACAGCTTATCTGGTAGGGTGTTGATTTTCTTTCTTTACCGTCTTCTTCCAGATCGATTACAACCCTCAGTTTGCTGACTGGACAAAGGAAACCAGGGGAGTTCCCTTAATCCGTGCTGTGCCCATGGACAACTGGCTGTTAATCCACGCCCGGCGCAACCACGACGTTGCCAATACCTTAATTCAGAGCCTGTACAAGGTCACACCCGCCATGGGCATCAGGATGAGCAGGCCCATCACGTGAGTGTCTTCAGAAAGCTGCTGGAAAAACCATTTTAGACTTTATGAAGATGGGTCTGTTCCCGTGCTTAGGCTGTTAAATGAGAGGGTGTAGTGTGTCACACCGACTTGTGTGAGAATTCTCATAAACTAAAGTTGTTTTCAATATGCAAACTGGGCAGCTTTCTCTTGTGACTGACTTTCCTACTCATACATTTATTTCTGAGAGCTTTTTGCATGGAAATATCAGACAGTCATTGAGCAAAACCTTCTCAAGTAGAGCCATATTTAATAAAAGAAGGAATATGTGTTTTCTTGCTGACTTAAGCTGTATTCTAATTTTGATGTGTTCTTGTTCCAAATATCCTTCTTTGAGTACCTGTGCTTGCCTTTAACTTTGAATTTCATTATGTTTGGAAGCTTAAACTGGAGGTGACTCCTCTTAATCTTCAAAATGTGTGAATATTATATGCTTTTTAATAGCTATAAATGTGACAGTACAGTACTGCTGTATAGTGGGCTTTCTGCTTATGCATAAGTAGTTTCAACAGCTGTTGTTTTTTTTCCTGAAGTTTCAGTAGGTGTTAATTGTTTTGGTTTTTTTCAGTAAGCATTTTTTCTTTCTTTTCAGGATTGAAGTAGATGACAGAACAGAAGCTTACTTGAGGGTTTTACAGCAAAGGGTTACCCCTGACACAAACATAGTATGTATCTGAATCCATAATTTCAAATCATGTTGGTCTCTGGTGTGTTAAGATTAGCGGGATTTGTTCTCAGAGATACTACTCTTGGCTCCTGAGAATCCACTAGCTGCTTAATCCTACTCCTGATCAAATCCAAGGCTGAGTATCCTTCTGGATAAGAGCCTTTGTGCTTGGCTCTGATGTGCAGACGCTGAAACTTTACAGTTGCTTCTTTCACTGTGAACACTTGGGTGTTTCTCTGGAGCGTAAGAAACTTTTCCTAAAGAAATCTGGAATGCTGTGTAAATATTAGAATGCAGCTTCTTACAAAGGGTTTGTTTTTTGGTTTGTTTTTTTTTTTCTTTATAGGTGGTTTGCATTTTGTCTAGTTCCCGAAAAGATAAATATGATGCCATCAAGAAATACTTATGTACAGATTGCCCCATCCCAAGTCAGTGTGTGCTCGCTCGCACTTTAAGCAAACCTCAGACAATCATGACTGTTGCAACGAAAATCGCCCTGCAAATGAACTGCAAAATGGGTGGAGAACTTTGGAGCGTTGAGATCCCAGTAAGTAATATTAATTTTTTTTTTAAATTGGTAACTTTTTTTTTTTATGAGCTTCACTTAAAAAGCAAGAAACCATACAGCTTGTGTCATGATCTTGTTACCCTTCAGCACGTCTTCATGTACTAATACATATTCTGTATTGACTTCTTTTAAGCTGAAGCAGGTGATGATTGTGGGAATTGATTGTTACCACGACACTGTAACTGGAAGGAAGTCAGTGGCAGGATTTGTGTCTAGCCTGAATCAAACAATGACACGGTAAGATTTGCCAAAGGCAAAAAAATAAAGTAAAAAAAGGACCTTTCCCTTAACTGAAAAGTACCTTGAATGTGGTGGACCAGCAGGAAAACATCCAAATTGGTTTGCTGTACATTGTTAGTAAGAAATATATTGTGAATTAGTTTTTCCACTGTACCTCTTGGAGTAGCCTTGTCCCTCTTCCACGGTGCATGGAACAGAGGGCATCAGGGTGTGACAGGCTCTGTCTCCTTTCCAGTTGACTTGTGTGAACGTTATTTTTGATTGAGAGGAATTTCAAGTGCTGCTGAGGCACTTTTACCACGGGGGAAATATTCTCATGTAACTCCTCCTTGGCTGCATTGACCCACAACACCCATGAAGCCTTAAGCAGTCATAGGGATTTTAAAAATAACTTTACTGAATGAAGCCCAGGAAATGCTTTGAAGGTCTTTTATTTTGTTCTTCACAGGTGGTTCTCCCGCTGCGTCGTTCAAAGTCGTGGGCAAGAACTTGTGGATGGAATCAAAGCCTGCTTGCAAAGTAAGAGGAGGAGTTCTGCTCTTGTGGAGTCATCCTCAGAACACACCTCCCCTGCTGCCTCGAGGGGAGGTGTGACCAACTTGCACTTGAATAGTAACAGATCAAAACTACAGTTGTAAATATTGCTGAAAACTAACAATAGCATTTTGTATAAAGTCTTTCTTTGATTCCAGTATTTCTTCGCAATAATTATGAATTACTTCTCAGTGAACTTAAGAGAATGTTTCAGCAGACATGGATTTGAAGGAGAGCAGCTCCCTGCTGTAAGGGAGGCCAGTGGAGCAGAGAGTCTCCTTAGGTTCTTACTTTTTTGTCAGTGCACAGGTAAACCAGAGTTCTTTTTGCAGGTAATATTTGTGTAACACGATGCTTAGTTATTTCAGGTGACTGAAAGATTGACGACTTTGGTTTTCAAACTTCTGTTTTGCCAGGAATAAAAACCTATTTTTTGTTTTGGAATAAATTCTCATTACAGCTTTTACTCTTGGGGTTTTTTTGTTTGTCTGTTTTTTTTAAGCTGCTCTAAGAAATTGGTTCAAGTGGAATAAGTGTTTGCCCTCTCGAATCTTTGTGTATCGTGATGGTGTTGGAGATGGCCAGCTAAATACCCTGGTTAATTATGAAGTGCCTCAATTCCTGGATTGCTTGAAGAGCATCGGTACTGACTACAGGTAAATCTGTTTCCACCACCCCTCTTGTTTATACTGCAAGAGAAATTAGCACGGGGATACAAAACGAGGTTATGGATGAAGATTGTCTCTCTATCCGTGCTTATTTTTACTTGAGCTCAATTAACTGCCTTTCTGATGATTGTTTACATGATTTCAGATAGCTGACTTATAATAAGAAAATCCTTAGTACATGCACCACATGACTGCAATACACATATATGCACATATACTCCTTAGGCATTCTCTGTGGATGTGGTAATTAATGCTTTTTTCCAACTGGTTGATCATAGCCTGATGACTCTCACGTGTCTGGTAAGTCCATCTTTTTTCTTTCTGCATCTGAAAGGATCATGTTGTCTGTCCAGTCATTTATATTCTGCACAGTTTTCAACATTCTGCTTTTAAACTTAACAGCAGTGACTTAACCTGCTCTGAAAAATGAACATGAACATGTTTCCTTACACTGCAGGCAAGCAGAGCCCCAAACAAGTTGCAGCTCAGAGGAATTGAGGTGCTTGGTTCTTCTCTTTAGTTTCTCTTTAACAGCATTTTTGATAAAAAGCAAGGCATTGTTTTCTATATGAAATGATAGAATAGAGAGTAGAAATCTGGTCTGTATTTAGTTTCTCTCTTTTTGGCCTGTTTTTCTCTCTCCCTATGAAGTTTAAATATAAGTTAGATTGGTGAGAAATAATATCAGAGTATCCAAATTCGTGAAAACTGTCATTTAATCTAAATCAATTAATTAATGAGGACTTCTTTGTGAAATTAATATCCTGGGATCTAGAGAATCTGTTCCTGAAATACTGTTAGTGCAGTTTTTTATTATAGTTTTGGTTTTTTTCCTTTATTTTAGTCCAAGACTTACTGTGATCGTTGTGAAGAAACGAGTGGGTGCCAGGTTCTTTGCAGAGGTTGGTGGAGGACTTAAAAACCCACCCCCTGGTACTGTTGTTGATACAGTGGTTACCAGACCAGAGTGGTAAGTTACTGGAGAAGTATCACTTAGTCCTTTTGGCAGCAGCCTTATAATAAAGGAAATATATTAATATATATAAAATGGACTGTGGGATCAAGTAGAAAAATAGTTTCCACATTTCTGTCCTTTCGGGAAGAAATCATAGTGAATTTGTAGATGAAAGAAGTGGACAAGCTTACATTTTACAAACTGATTATGCACTATTTGTATACATCAGAATATTACATTTCAAGTGTGTGTGTTTCACTTTTAGTGTTTCTTGTTTTGGTTGTTAAAGATTTAGTTCTGGACGAGAGTGTATTGACAGGATTGCCCAGCTGTCCTTACTGGAAAGCAGCCCTTTCTGTAACAGCCTTTGCTTTTCCTGTTACAGGTATGATTTCTTCGTTGTGAGCCACACAGTGAAAAATGGTTGTGTCACACCCACTCATTACAACGTCATTTATGATGGCAGCCAGCTGAAACCAGATCACTTGCAGAGGTTGACCTACAAACTCTGCCACATGTACTATAACTGGTCGGTA